TTATTATTATTTATATCTTACACTGTCTGACGTCTCCCTTCACCCACTTTTCTGTTGTCCGTCTCCCAGAGAGGAGGTTATATGTAGATCCCTGTAATCGGTTCCCCCGTCCCACCCACCCCTCCCTCCACCCTCCTAGTATCGCCACTCTCAGCACTGGTCCTGAAGGGATCATCCGTCCTGGATTCCCTGTGTCTCCAGTTCCCGTCTGTACCAGTGTACATCCTCTAGTCTATCCAGATTTGTAAGGTAGAATTGGGATCATGATACTGGGGGGGAGGAAGCATTTAGGAACTAGAGGAAAGGTTGTATGTTTCATTGTTGCAACACTACACCCTGTCTGGCTCATCTTCTCCCCGCGACCCTTTCCATAGGGGATGGATGTCCAATTGCCTAGAGATGAGTTTTGGGTACCCACTCCGTACTCCCCCTCTTTCACAATGATATGATTTTTTGTTCTTTGATGTCTGATACCTGATACCTTTGACACCTCGTAATCACACAGGCCGGTGTGCTTCTTCTATGTGGGCTTTGTTGCTTCTGAGCTAGATGGCCTCTTGTTTACCTTCAAGCCTTTAAGACCCCAGACGCTATATCTTTTGATAGCCGGGCTCCATCAGCTTTCTTCACCACATTTGCTTATGCACCTGCTTTATCTTCAGTGATTGTGTAGGGAAGGTGAGCATCATGGAATGCCAGTTTAATAGAACAAAGTATTCTTGCATTGAGGGAGTACTTGAGAGGAGGCCCAGTGTTCATCTGATACCTTAATACTAAACTTATAAATATATATGCACATAGATTTATTTCCCAATCCTCATATATAAATACATTTACATATGTACATGCTTTATTTAGACCTCTACAAATGCCCTCTGCGTCCTAGCTCTTTCCTCTATTTCCTTTTACTTTCCTCTTGTCCTATTATCATGGTCGGCCTTCATTTGGGTTTCAGTAATTCCTCTCGGTTACATTACCCTTGATCACACCCTACCAGGCCTCCTACACCTTCCTCACCACCGATTTGTGTATCGCTGTTTTCTTGCATTGGAGTAACAGACCAAAATTTCAGAGGCATCTCTGGCTTCTGCCCTTGTGACAGTCACAGCCTTGGAAACCCTGAGGAGCCCAGCTGCTGCTGCATACCTGGGTCAGTCTGTGTGGATTCAGCTCATTGGCAACTCGCATCAACAACAGAAGTGATTAATTTAAAACACTGTTATACTTTTCCTTCATGTCTGCCTGCTTTCTGTTGTATTTGGGTTCTTTCTATTTCAGGGTTTTTCCCTTAGTATGTTTGTATAATTGAAAAAAGTACTAAATATAGCCGCTGCTGTCTGAATGTATTTATTTCCTGACTCAGCAACATGTAATTTCAAGAAGTCTTTGAAATGGAGCATAAGTTCCAAGAATGCTACCATTAATTTTTCTTGGCTTTGCACTATTCTTACTAAGGACACTATTTTTTGAATGAAATACTTAGACTTTCTATTAAACTTATAGATAGTATATTTGTGTTCCAATTGGTTTATTTGTAAGAATGAATTTGGCATCCAATAATGCAGCTTAAATGCATTCCAACAGCTTAATGATGTACAAATAGAGCGAGACAGCTGGTTTTGCACCTGTTTCTTAGGCAGCCATGAGGTGGAAGAAGTGACTAGTTTCTAAATAACTAGGGAGAAATTTTTAATCTGATATATATATACTATTTTATAGTCTGCAAAACCACATGTTTAGAAAGTTCACATTATGAAGTAGATGCATCTTTATTGAATAAATAGTATGCAACTCTACACAGCTTTTTTTCTTGGTATTTTTCAGCAGAAAAAAATTAAAAGAAAATATGCTATATGTAATCCTGTAAATTTTGATATTTGTGGCATATTGTGTGGCTAAGAACATCAACATTGTAATGATACTGCTTTAATATTATGTATAACAAGCAATACACTGGCCATCTTTGTGATTGGGCTAGTAAATAATTATAGTTATACTGATTGTATTACATTTCTTTTAAGGCATATAAGGGGCATATACCGGCTTTTATCCTTTTGTTTCGTTTCCTTCCTTTGAATGATTAATTGAAACCTACATTTAGGGCATTGATGATTACTAGTAGTTTCATTTAATAATTAGAAAATTTTCTGGAAAAAAACCCAAATTTGCTGCAAAAGAGAAAACCATCAGGAATCTCAAATTAAAAGATCCATCATCATTATTGTTCTATTGTCTCTATTCTTTCAGCATTTACCTCTTCTTAGTCATACAGCTGGAAGATCAGCAGGTGGAAACCTGCTCTAGGGTTGAGACAAGGCTTTCTACTCCCACTAAAAATTACTGCCTCGGAAACCCACAGAAGCAGTTCTGCCTGTGCTATAGGGATTTTTTTGAGTCAGAATTGACTCAGTGGCTGAGTTTTTTGAGTTTTAGATATATAATGCTACTAAAGTTCAGGCTAGATATGATTGTTAATTTTCCTTTCATAAAAGTTAGATTGCAGTGTAATACTATTTCATACATATGACTGTGCTATGACCATCTTGATTATTAATAATAGTTCACCATAATATTTTTACATGGATTTACCTTGGCTATCCCAGTGATGTCCAGCGTGTCATATATAACTCTGATTTAAAGTGGTGCTGAGATATTTTAGGTGATACCTGATGGTGTTCAATAACATCAGACAGTATTGTAAAAACGTAGTACTTTTCCAGTTTTCTTTTGGTCCATCTTATTTTGACAAGCCAAAAGTCTATTTGCTGCTTGTCTACTCTTAAAACCCCTTTAGAATTTTCCCATTTCTCTCATGACTATCAACTCTATCTAACAGAAGTTTTAATAGCATCATTTTGTTTTCCTTGTATTTATTTTATTTCTTAATGGAATTTATGATTCTTTTAAAAATTATTATTTGAGTAAAAGTCTACAAAGCAAATTGGTTTTCCATTCAACAGTTGATACGCATTTTGATTGCTGCTGTTAGGTGCCCTGTATTGTCTCCAACTCACAGAGCCCCTGTGTACAACAGAATGGGGCCCGGCCGGCCTGCACTGTCCTCAGTGTTCCCAGGCCGAGCCCATGGTCGCAGCCACTGTGTCAGTCCATCCCCTCGATGGCTTTCCTCTTTTCCACTGCCCCTCTCCTTTACCAAATATGATGTCCTTCTAGGGACTAGTCTCCCAACAACATGTCAGAAACACAGGAGATGCACTTTCACCATCCTCCCCTTTAAGAAACATTCTAGCAGTACTTCTTCACAGACACGTTTACTTGTTCTTCTGCAGTCTTTCAGTTTTCTTCACCAACAACCATAATTTAAAGACAGTGAATCTTCTTAGGTCTTTATTCAATGTCCATTGTTGACATGCATGAGGTGAATGAAAATACCATGGCTTGAAAATACCAGGCACACCTTACTCCTCAAAGTAACATGCTTGCTTTCAGCACTTCATCCTTTTCTATCCTGTCTTCTGAGCTTTTATCTCCGGGTAAATGCTGCTGCTCTTTTGATCTCATATGATTAATTGTTCTAAGAGTGTATAACTTTCTTGGAGTTGTTTGTCTCTTGTTGGGCTGAAAGTTGAACTGCCTGTGGGAGGTGAGTGTAGTTGCAGGTTTGAAGGGTGGTTAAGGGCCATAGTCTTGGGGGCCCTACCAGTCTCTAACAGATCAGTAAGCATGGTCTATTCTAGAATTTTGAATTTTGTTCCACCTTTCTCTCTATCCAGGACCCTTTTAAAATTAAGGTCAGCAGTAGTACCCATGAGCCATTTATTTCATTCTTTTGGTCACTGGGTCACAGAGTTTTGAGTTCACGTAGTCCTTTAGATCTTTGAACTAATTGTTTTCTTCTGTTTGATTTTCTTCATTCTTTTTGCTTCAAACTGAGAGGGATAAATAGTGGCACCTTAAATGGCCACTTACAAGCTTTTCCGACCAAATTGCTAACCATCCAAGTAGGATATAGAGCACTGCCAATTTGGACTTTACGCCTGTCGATCCTGGTGACCCTAAGCCCTCAAGCCTAAGGACTCATTCCTCAAGTTGTTTCCCTGTAGCAGTGTTGTTGTCATTATTGTTGCTGCTGCTACTATGTATTATGTCCCTGGAGGTGAACAGAAGGGAATACCGCCCTGTGCTGCACCATTCTCACAGTTGTTGTGCTTCAGCCAGATGGGCAGATACCGTAACTGCACATTGTGGCTAAGGATCTTCCTTTTTTGCTGACCACCAACCATGATGTCCTTTACTAGAAATTGATCTCTTCCTGATAACATAGCCAAAGTATATGAGACCAAGCCTCCCCATCCGCCCCTCTGAGGAATATTCTGAGTATTTGTTCTTCTAGCAGTCCATGGTACTTTCCAGTCCAGTGCTCTCACCAGCACCATCACTCAGTGCCTCAATTCTTCATCGGTCTTCCTTGTTCTTTATTTACCATTTACATGCATGCGAAGAGATTGAAAAGACTATGGATTAAGTCAGGCACATCCTAATTCTCAAAGTGACATCTTTGCTCTTTAACAGAGACCTTGTGTAGCAGATTTACCCACTGCAGTATGTAATTTGACTTTTTGGACTGCTGCTTCTATGGGCATTGACTGTGGTCCCAGTATAATGAAACCCCTGACGTCAACTTTTCTCCATTTATCGTGGTACTGTCTTTTGGTCTAATTGTGAGGATTTTCATACTTCTTTAAATTGAGTTTCAATCTATATTTAAAGCTTCAGTCTTTGATTTTTACCAGCAGAAGCTTCCAGTTTTCCTTACTTACAACAAGCAAGGTGTCGTGTGCATATCACAGATTGTTAATAAGCCTTCCTCCAATCCTGATGCGACAGTGTTCTTCATAGATTTTGTTCGCAGATTTGCTCAGCAGACAGGCTAAAAAAGTGTGGTGATTGCACACCTTTCTTGATTTTAAATTATGCTTCTTAGTGGTGATTTTAAAAATTATCTTTGGTGATAGTGGCTCTCTTTTCTCCCCCTCTAGCTTGCTCAATTTCGGCAAAAAAGAGCTCAATCTGAAGGGCAGAATCTTCCCAAGAAACAGAAAAAAAGGAAGAAAACCCCAAGCACTATCCAGGATGCGCCAGCCTATCCTGCGGTGACTATTGATCAGCCACAGCCTGATGAGATGCTCGTAAACAGCTCTCAGGGCATCGGTAGCACCACTGAGTGCACAGTGGTGAGAACTTTACACAGTGGAGAAATAATCAAGCATGACCATGGCCTCACTGTTGAAGTAAGTATTCACCGGCTTGTAAACATAGTTCAAAATGGAAATGACAGTGCTGTAAAGACAACACTCAGGACTCTGCACTTTGGCCATATCTTTAGCTTCTTTTTGAAAGTTTCAGTAGGATGCTAACTAAAAAGCAATGCCCAAAATACCCATCAGCCTCTGAAAGGGAGTTTTGTGAGCTTCATTCTGCAAGTACTGGTGAAGCAGCTGTGGTACTGCAAGGACACAAAATGATTTTGACTGTCTCTGCCCCACAGTAAATCAGACCAGTGGGGAAGACAGCTGTAAGGTAGTGCAGTGCACCCTGGTTGGAATTTGGTTCAATAGCATCCCTGGCTTCTACCCACTAGATGACAGTAGCACCTGATCCTCACCGCCACTTATGACAACTCAAAATGTCTCCAAGTCCAAACAGGAAATAAGCCATGTGGTGAGGATAGACCCATCCCCCACAGAGAGCCTATATATCCACAGGCAGTCCAAATGTCCCTGAGGTACACAAGCATCCCTGATTGAGGAGCACTAGTCTAAAGGAGTCCTGGTGCCATAGTGGACTACATGTTGGGCTGCTAACTATAAGGTTCTCAGTTCAAACCCACAAGCTCTTTGCAACAGAAAGACGTGGCTTTCCACTCCTATAAAAATACACACTTAAAAAAAAAAAACACAGAGTGGTGGTGGGGGGCGATACACACCTTTAAAACCCCAAAGGGGCAGTTCTACTCTGTCCTGTATAACTCAGATGACTTGATGGCAGTGGGGGGTTTGGGGTTTTGTGTTGTTTTTGTCTGATATAAAGAATTTTTTTTGCCACAAGAATACTCTCATTCATTTCTAAGCTTACATTTATCAGAGGCTTTTTGATATATACAGATATATTTTGCCCTGTTCTCTAAATTTCTGAAATGAGTGAATGCGCCAAAAGATACCTGAAAATGGCATTTCCTAAGTTGTCAGACCTCAAAATCAGGAAAGTATTTACTAGCCCTTTTAGCTGGGTATCTTTCAACCCAAAATTCAAGGTTGGGTTTTTTCTGTAATTATAATGCATTTTCTGAAATATTGCCTGGGTGTGTGATAGCCAGATGAAGCACAAGCTTAAAACGTTTTCTCTCTAGAATTAGGGGCCCATGTATATGTACAATCAGAGGGTCTAATTGGTAACTACAAGCTTTTCATAGCTATAGCTTCACACAGGCATTTTACTCCAGTTTTACGCAATACCACCCAAGTCACATTTAACAAAATTCTATAATCTTTAACAAATCAAGTAGAGTATGGAATGCTGATCCTGTGTCTCAGGGTGTGGCCATGCACCACAGGATATGATGGTACAGTGCTACCAATTATGGGACTCCTTAGTTTGGGGGGGCATATGAGCAGGTAGTACCTTAGGTCAGCAAATCCTTTGAGAGATCCTTAGCCTCTCTCCTGTACCCCTAAACCAAACCAATTGCTGTTGAGTTGATTCTGTCTCCTGGTGACCCCCCTTTGTGTTAAGAGTAGAACTAGGCTTTTCAGTGGTTGGTGTTTAACTAGTGGATCACCGGACACTTTCAGCATAGGTCAAACCACTAACCTTTTGTTTTGCAGCCAGGTGTGTTAGAATTTCAGTTATATGCGTTGGGATTAAATTCAAGGTAATGAAAATAGTTGTTATTGACTTAAAATTTACATGTGACACAAACATAATTTTAACTACAGTGAACCTTCGCGCTTCGACTTCCGCGGCTTCACTCTATCGCGGTTTTTGCGTAACAGCACCCACTGCCTACACCTGCTCCTTCAGAGGAAAAAGACGGCGACCCACCTGTAGAGTACATCCCTTAAGTCATTTCATAGGCTATTGATTACAGTATTTGTAAGAACTATGTATAATAATACTGTATGTGAAAGATGTAATACTGTAAACTAGATGCCATAAGTAATATAATAAATAATAAATGATAATTGTAACATCCAAAATGTTTTACTGTATTTTCCCTTTTTCGTTTAATAAATTGGGTAATACGAGTGTAATGGTGACTAAAGGGTGTTTTTTTCATGTCCTCTATGCTCTAACTACGAAAATATTTGATTTACAAATAAGGAATCCTACTTCGCGGAATTTCATTTATCACGGTAGGGTCTAGAACCGATTAACCGCGATAAACGAGGGTTCACTAAAACTTGAAATTAATTTATTTTCAAATATTGAACAAGCCTTCTATCCCTAGAACAAGCCTGTAAAGTGTGATTCTTAGATGAGATGAGATCAGATCAGATAAGGAAAACCTTGAGAGGAGCACCTTCGAAGTCAGGAAATTTGGATTTGGTCCTTTATTCTTTCTACTAACTGATTTGAGAGAAGCTTGGAAAAGCCACGTACATCATAGCCAGATCTCAGGGATGTGAGGAGACTACCTTTGAAAGTGCTTTGTAAACTGTGATGGTGATGTTATTTTTTTTTTGAAGTTGTTACTACGTCTCCAGCATCAGATATAATGAATATTCTTTTTGCAGAAGTTGACCTTCTTTGACAGTACAATTTTATTAAACACAGGGTTGGGCTTTCGGAGAATGGTGTTGAATTAGTGCTTTTTGGCTTAGGGATAGTGTTGTGAGAAAGCACCCCTGGACACTTTCACGTTTAAGAAAAAGCCAACTGGCCAGTATTAGATATGTGATTTAGCCTTTGTAACTTGAAAAAGAAAGCTTTAAATATTCGAATAATTTTACTAGTCTCCTAGTAATATTTCATTTGAGTTTTCTATCGTGATAACAACAATAATGGCTTACTAAAGCATGATATTTAGCAAAAGAAAAAGTCATAATTGTAATGGGTTTTTCCTTCTCTTTTAGCCAGAAAGTGAAATTTCAACCACAGCAGATGATTATAGTTCAGAGGTAAGAATAGATAAAATAATGCTTTCAAATGTTATTAATTAAACTAATACTTTACAGTGTTATTGAAATTACCATCTGTTGTTGATGCTTTATTTCTTGAATGACACATGCTTCTTCTGTGTATTATGAATATAATATTGGTAAGATATAATTTAAATGACTAGAAAACTTGGTGATTCTCTTTTCCTGCTAGATCTTTTCTTCAAATTGTTAGCTGAATCTAATATTTGCCTCATTAGTTACTACTTAATTAGACAGAGCTCTTTCTGTGGTTTCTGAGGTAATCTTTGATGCCAAGTTCCCAGGATAAATGACCATTACATGGTATCCATGATGAACTCAGCAAAAATTTATTATGTGAAAATATTTCATTTTGAGCATTGTTTTTCTACAGGGCTTGAGTTCTACTTAAAATCATAGTCATTTGTTTACTGAAATGTATAGTGATTTCTATTTTCATTGATGAAAGCTAATATGAATATTAGCTACTTTAGGAAATGCTTTTTTATATGTTGCTAATAAGTATATGTCATTTTGTTATCTTTTCTTTTTTCTTTTAGATGTGGTTATTGTTTTTTTAACCCAGTATTTTAGGGCACAGAAAATTGGAACTTAGACTGTATGGCTCAACAACTCCCTTTATTCCATAAGTCTCAATTTATTGTAGATTTTCATAGCTAACATAATTAATCTTATGTTCTTAAATGAACATAGTACTCTTATAGTTTTTAATGGAAATAAAAACTTTTGACATTTCAAAAGTTTAATATGTTTGCAAGTAAGCAATATATTTGTTACTAATCTGGAGAAATTATAAGCAATGGTAAATGTATAAATTATTGCCTGATTCAGGTTTTGTGTAAGTTGGCCATAGGAAATAACTGGACTAAAAATCTCAACTTGTGATTCAGTGGGTTTGTTCTTGGGAGTTTAAATTGGGGGCTCGTATCTGAAAACACTGTTTTTCTCTTTCTGTACTACCTTAATTTTTATAGTTTGTCTTTTCTTGATAGACAGTTTCAGGTGCTTTGGTCCTTGAACTCTGTTGGCTTTGGGATACCTCCATGACTCCACTCCACAAAGTGAATCTGTTCCTTCACATCACAGTGAATTTTTATATATTCAATAACTATAGTCAGGTTATGCCATGTATACGAGCAAAATTTGGTTGAAATTTTTGTAGCTATTTTCTTATAGTGGAGGAACAGACCAAAATGTAATTTATCTTTTAGAAAGGAGGCCTGTGGCTTAGTGTTGTCACCAATTAGGCTGCTATCTGGAAAGTCAGCAGTTTGAACCTGCTAGTCCCTCCACAGGAGAAAGTTGTGGTGGTTTGTTTCTGTAAATACAACAGCCTTGGAAACCCTCTGGGGCAGTTCTGCTCTGCCCCATAGGGTCACTGTGAATTGCAGTTGACTCAATTAAAGGAAGTTTTATATTTTAAAACAGTAACCTCTAAAGAGATTGATTTTTAGGTTCTCTTTATGTTGGGATTCTTGTTACATTAAGATATTCTTTGCCGGGAAATTATAGAGGTCTAAATACAGGCATGTACATAAGTAAATATTTTTACATATAATGATAGGGAAATAGATCTATGTCCATATAATTATATATTAAGTATTAAGGTAGCAGACAGACATTGGGCCTCTACTCAAGTACTCCCTCAATGCAAGAACACTTTGTTCTAATAACCTGGCATTCTGTTATGCTCAGCTTCCTGACACAATCACTGAAGACAAAGCAGGTGCATAAGCAAATGTGGTGAAGAAAGCTGATCGTGCCAGGCTATCAAAAGATATAGTGTCTGGGGTCATAAAGGCTTGAAGATAAACAAAGAGCCATCTATCAGAGAAGCAACAAAGTCTACATGGAAGAAGCACACCAGCCTGTGTGATCATGAGGTGTCGATAGGATCAGGTATCAGGCCTCAAAGGCCCAGAACAAAAAAATCATATCAATATGAATGAGGGTGGGCACGGAGTAGAGACCCAAAGCCCATCTGTAGACAATTGGACATCCCCTTACAGAAGGGTCACAAGGAAGAGATGAGCTAGTCAGGGTGCAGTATAGCACCTATGAAACATACAACTTTCCTGTAGTTCATTAAGGCTTCTCCATGTTCCCCGACCCCAACATGACCCCAATTCTACCTTACAAATCTGGCTAGACCAGAGCATGTACCTGGGTACAGATAAGAGCTGAAAACACAGGGAATCCAGGACAGATAAACCCCTCAGGACCAATAATAAGAGTAGCAATACCCAGAGGGTAAGCAGAAGGTGGGGAGAGAATGGGGGAACCGATCACAATGATCTACATGTGATCCCCTCCCTGGGGGACGGACAAAAGAAAAGTGGGTGAAGGAAGACATCAGTCAGTTTAAGACATGAAGAAATGATAATAATTTACAAATTATCAAGAGTTCCTGAGGGAGAGAGGATGGGTGAGGGAGGGAAAAAGAAAATAAGGAACTGATAAGAAGCCGAAAGAAAATGTTTTGAGAATGATGATGGCAATAAAGGTACAAATGTGCTTGACATAATGGATGGATGGATGGATTGTGAGAAGAGCTGTACGAGTCCCCAATAAAATGATTTTTTTTAAATGATATTCTTTCCTACTATAGATTTATCTATGATACCCAGTAAATAAAATTTCAAAATAAGTTGCAAATAATATTTAAATATAACCCCTACAGATAGAACATGATATCAAGTTTTTCATACTTGTTAACCATGGTTCACAATAAGAAATGCGTTTTATGTACTTATGTGTGTAGTACATATGTATACATATATAAGTACATGTGTATACCTGTAAGCATGAATACTTTTATACATAAATATGTAAATATAATTCCAAACTCAATTTGATGAAATATACTTTTATTGTATGAAATGTACTGCTACTGTCTTTTTTTAATGCTGCTCATAAAAATTACATTGATTTTCTTAGTTTGAAAGTACAGTGACTGAGAAGACTACATTGAGAAAAAGATCATTATGGAATAATACTTGGCAGGTTTAGCATGACTCAAAATCATAATTCTAGGAATATTAGACATGTCAGGCTTGAGTTCATAATTAATTATATTTGCATGAAAGAAAAAATGATTACCTCATCAAGGTTGCTGAGATGGGGATTCCACTCCATTTTATCATGCTAGATTGGGCTTGACTGAACTAGAATTAGGGGATACTTCCACAATGTATAGAGCAATCACCGTCAGATCAAATTTATCACCCAAGGAATAAAGACTGTTCACAATGCTTTCACAATGTATAATACTTTTCACAGTGTAACTATAAGCTCTTAGTGTCTTTCTAGGTAACATACAGATTACATTAATGACTCCACTCAAAATACCAGGTTTTCAAAGTTTAATTAGCTCAGCGTTCGTAGTTTATATTTGCATATTAAAAAATTTCAGAATCACGTACCATATATACTTGTGTGTAAGTCAAGTTTTTCAGCACTTTTTTAATGCAGTTAATTGTGGTAAAATTAGGTGCCTCAGCTGATATTGAGGTCGGCTTATACTTGAGTATATGTGGTAATTATAATCATAGACCAAATAATGGCCTTATAATTTTCTTAATAATCTGTCATTTTTTTAGTAGATAGGGAAATAGTCAATACTAAAAGAGTAGGGCTTTAGATTCAAAAGTTCCTGTGTTCAAATTTCAGTCTCATTGCCAGTGAGCTGTGTGAACCTGGGCATGCCAACTCTGAAGTTTAGTTGTCTTACCTGTAATTAGAGCTTAGTTGGAAATTGTATGCTGTGTGCTTAATGTGGCTGACTTCAGTGGCTAGTCTACTCATTTGTCTCAAACATGAATTTAGTTCTAGAATGAATTACTTACGTAATTTTATTCTATGACCTAAGATCTGTTTTATATGAGCATACACCAATTATTTGCACTGGAGAAGCCAGACAGAATAAGAAATATCTTTCCTTGGGATTGATGTAAATCAGCATGATCTCTTCTGCCTGTGACGAACGGGCATTTCCTGTCCACTATGCCTGTTTACATGAAACCCTTGAGTAGGCTTGCCAAGAAAGTTAGAAATGGTACAGGTAGCATAGTGACTTAAGGTGGGTAAATATGCTTTGCTACATTCAGAAGGATGAAGTGATCTTTCTGGCTAAACTCTTATTGTACTGGTTATGGTCTCAATCTCATTATTCAGTTCATCCTAATCAAGCCCCTTTTATAATCCATACATTTGTGAAACAAGTTAAGAGTGAATGATCTTAACTTCATTAGCTATTTTGGATCCAAAATGACGAGTCTGCTAGGCAATTGAATATTTGTAATTTTCATCATTAAATATTAATTTCACATTCTTTTTATGTTTTAATTCAACTAACCATTATTTTTCTGAATATGTGTGCTCCCAAATTAAGGATAATAAGAAAAGTACATAAACCACATGAAAATCTAAGGATGTTATCCTTTCCTGTTTTTACGCTAATGTCGACTGAAGGGAAGAGTCTCCTATGAAGCCCATTTTGCAATAACTTAGTGGAACTTATTTTTCCTTTGAGTTTTTTGTATACCAGAGTTATAAATGTAATACTTTACAGAATTATTTTAAATGCACCTTATGCGTACTTTCCCAGCTTTTTCAAGTCTTTTGTGACTTAAGAAAATCACATCGGGCTTCTAACCTCAAGGTCAACAGTTTGACAATACCAGCTGCTCCCCAGGAGAAAGAGGAGAGGAGCTTTCTTTTCCCTTGAGATGTACAGTCTCAGAAACCCACAGGGGCAGCTCTGCTCTGCCCCACAGGGTTGCTTCAGTCAGAATCGACTCCAGCAGTGAGTGTAAACATTAATGTTGACAAATACCTCAGTAAATTAGGATAGAAAAGACTAAGAAAAGTTGAGCCGTTTTCAATTGAAAGAGTTTATTAACCTAAACTTCAGGTTTCAAACTCTGAATTTGCCTTTTAGATTTCCATATACCAAATATACCATTAGAAGTCTAGAAGCTATCAGTACACTATATTACAAATTAGAATGATTCATTGCTAACTATTATTGATCCCGATATGCTGTGTAGTGTTCCTATTATAACTTTTGAATATAGTTGGTTTTAGTTTACTTCTGGTGAATAATTTTTTATTACCTACTTACATGATAATAAATTTCTAAAATTTATTAGTATTGACAAGGTTTAACATTACTGCAACAGCATATAATTAAGTATTGAAAATTGGTCCTACAAGAGGCTTCAAAAAGTTTGTCCGAAAAGTTCATTTTTAAAACTTCATTTTCTCACAAATATTTTAAAGTCCACCTGTGTAGTATTTTAAGAAGCTAATAGTTGCAATATTAGCTTATTTTTTATAAATGTATATTATTTATTATAATATTTCAGAATAAAGAAAAATTAATTAAACCAAAAAGACTCCAACTCTGATAAACAACTCCTAATTACGATCTTCACGTTTTATCGTATTCTGGCCCATATGGTCCTAACCTTTATTCTCAGATATTCTATTTTATTTATCTCAACAGTTAAAAAACAAAAGTCACTTGAAACCTATTAGCATGGAATAGTGAATAATCAGGATGTGGGCAGAGGTGAAGTTCCTTATTGTAAGGTTAATGGAGAAACCTTAAATGGGTCAATTGAGCTGAAATTGATCTCTCACAAAGTCAGTCCTAGAGACAGATTCTGTTAACCTTGTTACTCTCACCAAAACTGTCTCTGATGGAGGCAGGCAGGAATACATTATGGGACAGCCTCCATTTGGTGTAGAATCAGCCTGAGCTGTCTTAGTGCTACTTCCCATATCTGAATTTTAAGGGAGCACCCCTTGCCGCCTCCTACCTCTCTTCTGACCTGTTGACCAACTTTCAAGGAATTTGGACGAGTAAACTGTTAGGGTTTAGTAATATATATATATTACTAAATATATATATATACACACACACACATATATATACATATATATACAATTTTAAGGAAGCATTTTCAAGAATCTATCAAGTAATTTGAGGTTCCCAATTACCCTTTTGAAGAAAGCAAACCAGTTTGCACTTAGTTTGAACTTTAAATCACTTCAGTGAAAATATGTATTATAACACCTTATGCATTATAAGCACTCAGATGTGTGAGGAATGATTGACATTTAAAATTGCCGTGAGGCATATTAGATGCTTCAGTTCGATTTAATACATATTTTATTTTTGCCAAGGAGGCACTTGCCCTAAACATGTATGATGCATGAATACAGATTATGATTGTTAGTTTTAAGTAAAATTCCATCTAAAATTATAATATATCAGGAAATTGTTTTTATGCAGGTAAATGGTTGCAGTTTTGTGATGAGAACAGAAAAACCTGCAGATTTATTAAGGGTACAGTATTTAAAACTGCTCATGATACTAACTTCTTAAACTGTTTTTAAAACCATGTGGCTTACTAACAAAGCTTTTTCCTGAATTTACTTTTTTCTATGGGTGATTTCTAAATGCTTTTAACATATAACAACATTTCCTGCCTCTTTAAACTCAATTGTCTCTGAATTTGCAGGTATCCTGTTTCTGTTCTTGAGGTACAAATCTCATTAACAACAAAGTAGGTTGGCATACCAGTAAACTCCCAGGTTATGAGTAATATTTTAAAAGTGGACTTTGCTGTGGAATTAAATATTTGAATTTTATCCATGAGGAACATTGCTAGTATTGAATTATTAAAATCTTGGATTGATTTAGGAAGAAGAATTTGGTGTTGATTCCTATTCTGAACATGGAGCACAGTACAGTCAGACTCATCTAGAGAGGATGGAAAATGAATTGACTGAGAAGCAGCATGAGATTGATGAGCTAAACAGAGAACTAGAGGAAATGAGGGCTGCCTTTGGGACTGAAGGGCTGCAGCAGGTATGTCCACCTTCTGTGGCTTTTGGTGTGTTACTCTCCAAACAAAAGTAGGACATCTGAGCGATGGCATAGGAGTAAACTCACTGTTGTCAACTCACTTCTGACTCATTGACCCTGGAGAACAAAGCGATGGGACGTAAATATTTTCAGAAGCAGGCTGCTACATCTTTCTCCTTTGGAGCCGCTGGTGGTTTGAATCACTGACCTTTTGACTCTCAGCTCTGCGCTTTTAACAGCTGTACCAGTTGGGTTCAGTGTACTCTGTGTGATGGGGGGGGAGGGGCGGGGCGGGGTGTCTGTCAGTCTCTGACTTAAAGATGGGACTTTTAAAATACTAATTTAAAGTGTTATTTGTCTTCATACATATTTAAAAAACACCAAAATTATAACTAGGATTCAGCTAAGATAATGTGGACTCTAGTTTAATGTTGTGAACTAATCTAGACTGAAATCACTCCAGTAGCATAGGTATATTTCATTCATCCTGAAGGAAAATTATGATGCAAACCACATCAAAATCATATGACTGAAGCCCAAATAAGAATGCCAGTTAGTCCTAGTAACTTTTGTGATTACAGTGACATCTATTGTACATGACAGACAGTTACATAATTAAGAATAACCGTATATTTCCATTGTGTCCTCTCCAGAAAGAAGTGAGGATAAATAATGGCGTTTGCCTGGGAGCAAGGTTGGAAGGCACTTCTGAATATGAAGGCACTTGTCCTTTTCTCAGTCATTGTCAGTGAGTCTATTTCAACTCACAGAGACCCTGTAGGCTATGGTAGAACTTCCACTGTGGGTTTCCAAGACTAACTCTTGATAGGAAGCAGAAAGCCTTGTCTGTGTTCTGCAGATTGACTAGTGGTTTTGAAAGACTGACCTTGCCATTAGCAGCCCTACTTGGAACCACCACGCCAACAAGGCTACCAGTAGCTATCTGGTACCTAAGGTACTTTTTCCCCCCTAGTTCAGGTAGTTTTCTCACAGTTGGTTTTTGAAAACAAAAGCTATTCCCGCAGGTTTTCAAATGCGAAAAAAAAACTACTTACAGCCTAAGAATTTTGCAGATATAGTTAGGTTAAAATGTAATACTTGTATCATTTGATCCCTCTTTTGAGCCATTTAAAAGTTGTTTCAGTTTTTTAAAAAAGTGAAGGGGAAATTTTTCCACACATGGATTAAGCCTCTAACAAAAGCCCTCTGACCATAGACTAGGGATAGCCTTGCTGGCATGCAGAGAACATTGCAAAGTGGATTATTGCTGATTCAGTTAGGTTAAAAATTTGCACCTTATCATTTGATCTCTCTTTTGACACATTTAAATTTTGTTCGTTTTTAATATTTTCTGCTCTCTTTTTGATTGAGATTTCTCTCTGTTTTACTCTGTTGTTAGTTGAGTGTGTATGTTTATGTATATTAAATCCAGGATAGATAAATCTATAGAGATAGTTACTGAATTAATGGTTCCTTGGGGATATGACGGAGGAGTTGGTGGGAAATGGGGAGCTTGTTCTAAAATTGATTGTGGTTCTGATTGTACAGCTTTTCTTAATATGATTGAACTATTGAATGATATGATATATATGAATTTTATGCCAAAAACTATTAAAAATTTATTCATTCGTTAAAAAATATGTTCCATTGAGGGAGGGGGGAGTATTCTACCAGCACATTTATGTATAGATATATAAAATAAATAAATATATATATATATATATATATAATTCCCTTATGTTTTTGGTGAAAGTTTATAAAGCACATTAGGTTCCCCTTTAACAATATCTGTACATGGTGTTCAGTGCCAGCATTATCCATAGTCTCATTGTTATTATGTTTGTTCCATTTTCATTAATCTAGCTTTGCTAGAGCAGTGGTTCTCAACCTCCCTCATGCCGCGACCCTTTCATACAGCTCCTCATGTTGTGGTGACCCCCAACCATAACATTATTTACATTGCTGCTGCATAACTGTAGTTTTGCTACTGTCCTGAATTGGACAACCTCTGTAAACGATGGACAACCTCTGTGAAAGGGTCGTTCGACCCCCAAAGGGGTCGCAACCCACAGATTGAGAACCGTTGCTTTCGAGTAATTCTTGCCCATTTGGTCTTACACAGATTATTCTGGATCATCCATTTTAAAAGAACAGTTGCCTAGTAACTGTTTTGTTGACATTTACAATTTGCTGATAGTAACAATTTTGTTGAAAAAATAAATAGCACTTTTTTTCCTTCGCTTCTTCAGTTACAAGAATTTGAAGCTGCCATTAAACAAAGAGATGGCATCATAACCCAGCTCACTGCTAACTTGCAGCAAGCAAGAAGAGAAAAAGATGAGACAATGAGAGAATTTCTAGAGTTGACAGAACAAAGTCAAAAATTGCAGATTCAATTCCAGCATGTAAGTATTAGCCATATAAAAAATTACTAGACTCAATAATGATGTTTTTAAATTGTTGCACATTCCAGAACAAATCTAAATTTGTTAATGAGACACTGCTTACTAGATATCATGTTGGAAAAACTAGAAAATACCTGTTATTATGTTAACCAATAATTAAGTAAAGCTTCTTGAATGATTTCTTGCCAGGGTTTGTTTTTTTTCCCCCCGGTACTTCTTTGTCTCTGTTTTGGAGTTGTACAAAAAGCTGACTGGTAAATTTTTCCAGAAAGTAACCTGTAGTCACATCTATATTTGCCAGTTGTAGTAGTATGGTTTTTAAAATTTTATATTTGCCAGTCATAGTCTGGTTTTTAAAATTTAGTTTTCACAATGGTAACTAGATTAACTACTAAAGTTAGCCAAAAAATATTATTAACATTGTAAAGTAACTAATGCAGAGGTAGTTAGATTAAAATGCATCGCCTTACCATTTGATCTTCTTTTTGTCCCATTGTAAGGTAAGTCTATGGGTTTCCAAGGAAACATTCATAAGACAGCATTTCCATTCATCGAAATGAAAAGGTGCACTGTCATAATCATCATGGAACAAAAATGGTTGACAAAACTTTCCTGGCCTTTTTCTCCCCGTTGCAGTTTTCAAAGTTGTTTCTGTTTTTAATATTTTCTAATTTCTTTTCTATTGAAATTTTGTCTAGTCATTTTCGTTTTTTGTTTGCTTCCTGGTGGTATTGCATATGACTTTCTGTACATGAAATTCAGAGTAGATAGATCTATATATACATGGCAGGGGATTATGGGAGGAAATAAAGAGCTGACAACAATGAATATGAGAAGAAAATGTTCTGAAATTGAGGTGGTGATTGCACAACTCTTCCTAATATAATTAAATAAACAAATTGTATGATATGTGAAGTATATGCCAGTAAAACTATTTTTAAAGTATTGCTATAAAATAATAGAAACGTTTATTAAACACTGATATAAAAATGTAAAGCTATTGGTTTTAGACATGTCCTCCATCTAGGTCTATACATTTCGAAAGTAGTGTTTTCATTTTTCTTAACTCTTCCTTGAAGAATTCTTCACTCTTCATTTTATTCCATGTCAGTTTTGGCGTCTTCTGTGGATTCAAATTGTATATGAGTTTGGGGAACAAAAAGAAATCTACAGGGGCAAGGTAGGGCTGTAGGGTGGATGGGGTAAGAGTCCCCAAGGAAATATTTGTAGGACAGCCCTTGCTAGTCTCGAAATAAAGAGGTACAATGTCATAATGGAAAAAAATTTTGTTGGTAGAACTTTTCTGGCCTTTTCCTTCCCAGTGCAGTTTTCAATTTTCTTAAAACATCTTCCTAATAAGTGACCATGCTCATGTTGTGTCCTTCTAAAAGATCTATCAAGATTATCCCTTGGGAATCCGAAAAACAGTTGCCATAACCTGCACTGACCTCTCTGCTTTGAATTTAACTGGTCCAGCAGGTGCCCTCAAATATATCTCTTTCCTTCTCATACAGTTCTTTTGTTCAATCCCATTGTGTGAGGCTATACAGTCATCGATGCTACCAGCTCCACTCTCTCCCTCTTCCTCTCCACCCCCCCCCCCTCACTTTCCGTACCCTCAGGGAACTCTTATTCCTGTCAGTGTCTCTGAGGGGTCATCTATCTTGACTACCATGCACCAAGCTATCTTAAATGTACAAGTGAACATACAGAAGTCTAATATGGTATTCTAATATGGTATTCTAATAAGGTATATCATGTAAGGACCATAGTAGTAGGGGAAAAAATAGTAAAGAACTAGAGGATAGTTATGTGGTTCATCAGTGCCACACTGCATCCTGGATGTATTCCCCATTCCATGAGGCCCTTCTAAGAGGGACTATCCAATTGTCTTGCTGTCCAATTGTGGACCTTGGGTCTCCACTACATATACTCCCCTTCATATCAATTTGGATGCATGTTTTTGAACTTCTGATACCTCTTCCCGTTGATACCACATGATCACACAGGCTGGTGTGCTTCTTCCATGTGGGCTTTATTGCTTCCCTGATAGATGGCCGCTTGTTTAATGACAAGCCTTTAAGACCCAAGACACAATGGCTTTTGATAGCCGGGCACCTTCAGTTTTCTTCACCACATTTGGTTATGCACCCATTTTATCTTCAGCGATCATGTCAGGAAGGTATCATACAATGCCACATTATTAGAACAAACGCTTCATGTATTGAGATAAGATTTAAGTAGAGGCCCAAAGTCCATCTCCTTCCTTGTTGCATTTACATATATACATATAACAAATACACACATATTCATATATATATATACATATAACAAATACACACATATTCATATATATATATATATATATATTGGGTTTTATTTTTTCCTCCTACCCCACTATTATGTTTACTGATTGTTCACCACTGAGTAATTCCTCTCAGAAACAATTCGATTGATCAAACATGCCCAGAAAAGCTACACCTCCTTGCAGTCCATCTTAAAACTCTTACTATTTCCCTGTGCCCATCATTGTTGGCTCCCCACTCATCGCAACGCCCCCTCTCCTCAGGTGCCCCCAGGAACCATCGGTCTAGCCCCTGTCTCTGTGAGACTGCCCGTCAGCATTTCTTATATAGATCAACACCAACAAAATAAAAACAAATAATAATAAACGGTAAAAAAAATTATAAAAACAACATACAGATAGCCACCAGTTTAACAGGAATCATGACCTAGAATCTCATTGGTGCCCAAAAAAGTTTCCCATAAGTCCACGTTGCTATTCCCACGGTTGAGGATGGAGTGCCACTCTCCCCCATTTACGCTTTAGACTTTCATTGTGGCCCCCTTGTGAGTAACCCCCAATCAGTTCAGGTGAGTTGTCCAGTGCTATCGTCTGAGTCAGGAGTCTACAATCGGGGTTCCTCGGGGACTTCGTGACTTAACTCCCATCACTGGTTTATTGTTGCAATTCCTCTTGGTTTGCCCCCATGTGGGCTGGTCCGACCAGTCGCTTTCCCCAAACAGTATCTTCAGTGCTGTCCTCTAACAGAAAATAATTTGAGATAGTTTCAGCAAAAGAGAGACATTTAATATAAGGATATGAAATTATTTTTTTGAACTCAAGGCAGAAGTACCACAAGGTTCTTGAAAGGGATTGGAGCCAGAGACTGGAAAGTCATCAGGAATCTGGGGACTGCTGTCATCATTAGCCCCCACTGCATGTCTACCTCACTTAGCTCCCTCACTCGCTCCCTATTTTCTCTGCTTTACCACAAGGAAGAGAATCTTATTGAGTGAGCTTCAGTAATGGGCCATTACCAATCCAGTCTACAATGGCAGGCAACATGTTTGCTGGGGCCTTAGGTACAACTGCAAATCCATCAGAGTCCCCCGAAGAGTCATTGCAAGCTGAGTAATACCTCCAAAGGTGAATATTCCTTAATATAATTACTTTGCAGTTGTAATGTGCTTTCCATTGTTCAGTTGCAGGCTAGTGAAACACTGAGAAACAGCACTCATAGTAACACAGCGGCAGATCTGCTGCAAGCAAAACAACAGATCTTCACTCATCAGCAAAAACTGGAAGAACAAGACCACCTACTCGAGGATTATCACAAAAAGAAAGAAGACTTCAAAATGCAAATTAGTTTCTTACAAGACAAAATTAGAGCCTATGAAATGGTATGTTTATTTTAAAAGTCAACCAATTTGTGGGAAGCTTTGCAATGATCTTTTAAATTTCTTATGTGTGTATCTTTTCTTTTTTTAAATTATTTTATTGAGGGCTCATACAATTCTTATCACAGTCCATACATACATCCGTTGAGTCAAGCACATATGTACACCTGTTGCACTCATCAATCTCAAAACATTTTGCCCTCAATATCATTTGCTTATTTTCCCCCTCCCTCCCCCCTCCCTCCTGAACCCTTCATAATTCATAATTTATTATAGTTTTATCATAAGTTACACTGTCCGATGTCTCCCTCCGCCCTCTTCTCTGCTGTCCATCCCCCAGGGAGGAGGCTATACTTAGATTCTTGTAATTGGTTCCCCCCTTCTACCCCACATTCCCTTCACCCTCCAGGCCTCGCCCCTCTCACCACTGGTCCTGAAGGAGTCATCTATCCTGGATTCCCTGTTTTTCAAGTAGCCATCTGTACCAATGTACATCCTCTGGTCTAGCCAGATTTGTGAGGCAAAATTGGGATCATGATATTGGGGAGGAGGAAGCATTAAAGAACTAAAGGAAAGTTATATGTTTCATCATTGCTACCCTGTACCCTGATTAGCTCGTCTCCTCCCCAAACCCCCTCAGCAGGGGGGTGTTCAGTTGCCAACCGATGGACTCTGAGTCTCCACTCTGCACTCACCCACCTTTACAATGACATGATTTCTTGTTCCTTGATGCCTTGACACCCAATCCCTTCGACAGCTGGTGGTCACACATACTGGTGTGCTTTTTCCATGTGGGCTTTGTTGCTTCTGAGCTAGTTGGCCGCTTGTTTATCTTCCAGCCTTTAAGACCCTAGATGCTATATCTTTTGATAACCAGGCACCATCAGCTTTCTTCACCACCTTTGCTTATGCACACCTTTGTTTTCAGTGATCGTATCAGGAAGTTGGGCTTATGTGTGTATCTTTTTGTCATTCATATGAATACCAAAATGTTATGATTAATGAAAATTCTATATATATGTATAAAATATTTTATTTCAGAAACAACTGGTAGTCTCACAACAATAAAACAATCTTTAAAATAAGCTTGTTAAGTTTCCTGAAAGTTTATGTTAAATCAATTAATATATGGATTGTTATAAGAGTTGTAGGAGCCCCAATTGAATGATCTATTTGAAAATTGACAAAACAAAATGAAATGGGTTTTAATTAGAAAAATAAATATCTCTGATTACAATACTTTGAATGAATTTCTTATAAAGCAGAGTATTGTTTGGAGAATAATTACTTAGCATTTATTTATTAAGTACTATGAGGGTGGTGATTGAAGCTATGTTGGTTTGCTAGATCACAGCTCATTCTTCTCCTAATCTGAACTTCCCAGGCAGGGTACAGTAGTCATCGGCAAGGAGTATACTATTCCCACTGTATTTCTTAAAAATAGGGATTATAGCCTTGACTGCAGCATTTTCTTTCCAACACAAAGTAAGTTTTTAAAAATCATGCATATTTGAAATAAATGATGCTAAGAAAAATGAATAGTGAATTGGCACTATTTAATATTTGAATGTAGAATTATGGTGGTTTGTAAATTATATGAAGTGCTGGACTATTTTGAATTAAGTGCTAACTTCTTTTCCCTCTGTATAATATCAGGAAATAAAAAAGTTAAGATTTTTGTGATGTTAACATTTTTCAAGATTAATTGCATTTTAAACTTCAGTTGGCAACCATAAGTTGATTTTGCTTCTTTATAGGTTCTAAATGCCTTACATGTTTTTTTCCCTAGGATGTAAGTATGTTTTTTTTTTGTGCAAGTAGAATTTCAGAAATGAAATACCTTAATATATTTTATTTCATTTTAGCTTTAGAACATATTTTGTTTGGTAGAGAAGCTAGCATTATCTGCAAAAGTTCTTTTACAGATGAAAACACTAGGACTTAAAAGAGATTAAAATGACTTCTGAATGTCATAATATAATATAAATATTAATATAAGAAATCATATCAATGTGAATGAGGGGAAGTGCATAGTTAGGACCCAAAGCTATCTGTAGACAGTTGAACATCCCCTTACAGAAGAGTCATAAGGAAGAGATGAGCCAGTCAGGGTGCAGTATAGCACCGATGAAATATACAACTTTCCTCTAGTTCTTTAATGCTGCCTCCTCACCACCCACAAATCCAGCTAAACCAGAGCATGCACACTGGTACAGATAAGAGCTCGCAACACAGGGAATTCAGGATAGATCAACCCCTCAGACCAATAATGAGAGTGGTGATACCAGGAAGGTAAGGGGGGGAGGGGGAGAAAGGGGGAACCGGTCACAATGATCTGCATATAACCCCTTCCCAGGGGGAGGACAACAGAAAAGTGGGTGGAGGGAGACAGCGGTAGGTGTAAGACATGAAAAAAAACATTATAAATTATCAAGGTTCATGAGGGAGGGGGGAAAATGAGCTGATACCAAGGGCTCAAGTAGAAATGTTTTGAGAATGATGATGGCAACATATGTACAAATGTGCTTGACACAATGGATGGATGTATGGATTGGATTGTAATAAGAGCTATAAGAGCCCCCAATAAAATGATTGTTTTAAAAAAGAAATTTTAGCCCATAAGGTAACATGGGACGGGATGTCGGATGTCAAGAGGAATGCTGGCAGGATTTCCTTCAAGAAGCACATTTGTTGCTTTGGTTCATTTATTTAAAATAGACTGGCTTTTTACTTGTCTCAGAACTCTCTCTAACCCTCACTGCCATCTAGTCAATTTTGACTCATGGCAACCCTCTAGGGCAGGGTAGAACTGCCCTTGCAGGTTTCTGAGACTGTAACTTTTTACAGGAATAGAAAGCCTCATCTTTCTCCCATTGTAGGGGCTGTTGGTTTCTAACTGCTGACCTTGAGGTTCAAAGCCCAATTCATAACTACTATATCACCAGGGCTCCTTGATTCAAAGCAATGTAAGAGGAATTCTCAAGAAGGCCAAGACTATTGTAATGCTTACTTGTTTCCAGAGCTGAATATACAAGTCTGATTTGTCTTTAGAGGGATTGAAGAGCAGGCTTAATAGTTTACTGTGTATAGAATTATGTAAAAAGCCAATTTCTATCCATCTTGTGGTAAAAGGATGATATGTTACCAAGTGCCAAAAATGCCTTTCTTATGTTTTCCTTTTTTTCTGTATAAAGGAACAAAATAAAAAAATAGAAAACTCAAATAAAGAAATACAGGAAAAGGATGAAATCATTGAAGAACTAAATACAAGAAGAATAGAAGAAGAAAAGAGAGCTCTCGAGCTGAAAGAGAAAGTGATAGCAGCTGACATGCTACTGGAAGAGTTACAGGAACAGATCGTACAAAAGAACCAGGAGATAAAACACATGCAATTAGAGCTGACTAATTCTAAACAGAAAGAAAGACAGTGTTCTACGGAAGTACAGCAGTTAATGGGGACAGTTGAAGAACTGCAAAAGAGAAATCACAAGGATAGCCAATTTGAAAATGATATTGTGCAAAGAATGGAACAAGAAACACAAAGAAAGTTGGAACAACTCCAGGCAGAGCTAGATGAAATGTATGGGCAGCAGATAGTGCAGATGAAACAAGAACTAATAAAACAACACATGTCACAGATGGAAGAACTTAAAATACGACATAAAGGAGAAATGGAGAATGCTTTAAGGACACGTCCAGATAGTACAGTTAATGAAGATCAAGTAAAGTTAATGAATATGGCAATAAATGAACTGAATATAAAATTGCAAGATACTAACTCTCTAAAAGAAAAATTCAGGGTAGAATTAGGAGTCATTTCCGGAGAAAAGACTGCTTTGCAAGGACAGCTTGAAGATCTTTTAGAAGAATTAAGCTTTTCCAGGGACCAGATTCAGAGAGCTAGACAGACAATAGCTGAACAAGAAAGTAAACTCCAGGAAGCGTACAAGTCTCTTAGTACAGTGGATGACCTGAAAGCAGAGATTGTGTCTGCATCTGAATCCAGGAAGGAACTGGAATTAAAACATGAAGCAGAAGTCACAAATTACAAGATAAAACTTGAAATGTTAGAAAGAGAAAAGAATGCTGTGTTGGACAGAATGGCTGAATCCCAAGAAGCTGAATTAGAGAGGCTAAGAACACAGCTCCTCTTTAGTCATGAAGAAGAACTTTCCAAACTGAAGGAAGATTTAGAAATTGAGCATCGAATAAACACTGAGAAACTTAAGGATAACTTAGGCATTCACTATAAACAGCAGATAGATGGGTTACAGAATGAAATGAGTCAGAAGATAGAAACCATGCAGTTTGAAAAAGATAATTTGATAACTAGACAGAATCAACTACTTTTAGAAATTTCAAAGCTAAAAGATTTACAGCAATCTCTCATGAATTCAAAATCAGAAGAAATGACTCTACAGATCAATGAACTGCAAAAAGAAATCGAAATACTAAGACAGGAAGAAAAGGAAAAGGGTACCCTTGAACAAGAAGTTCAAGAATTACAACTTAAAACTGAGTTATTGCAGAAACAAATGAAAGAAAAAGAGAAAGACCTTCAAGAAAAATTCACAGAACTTGAAGTAGAGAATAGTGTTCTTAAAGATGAAAAGAAATCCCTTGAAGACATGTTAAAAATATGTACTCCTGTTAGCCAAGAAGAAAGATTCATTTTCATGGAGTACAATAATTCCAAACCCAAAGAGAGTAGCTGGCAAAAAGAAATAGATAGGCTCACAGAGGAAAATGAGAACCTTAAAACACAATGTATTCAGCTAAATGAAGAGATTGAGAAACAAAGGAACACTTTTTCATTTGCTGAAAAAAACTTTGAGGTTAATTATCAAGAGTTACAGGAGGAGTATGCTTGTCTCCTCCAGGTAAAAACTGATTTAGAAGGCAGTAAAACCAAACAAGAAATAGAGTATAATAGGAAGCTTAAAGCACTTAATGAAGAGCTCCATCATTTGCAGAAGATAAATCCAACTGTAGTAAAACCGAAAAGTTCCATTTTTGACGATGATAAGACTTCTGTAGCAGAAACAGTGGATATAGGTGAAGTGGTTGAGAAAGATGCCACAGAGCTTATGGAAAAACTCGAGGTAACCGAGCGAGAAAAACTAGAACTGTCGGAGAGATTGCGTGAGCTTTCAGAACAATTAAAGCGGAGCCATGGTGAGATTTGTGTTTTAAGTGAAGAAGTTAAATCTTTAAAACATGAGAAAGAGCAAGTTTTATTGCAATGTAGAGAGCTAGAACTCATAATCAAACGGACAGAAAACCTAGGTATGTTTGATGGTCAGTCGAGTTCTAAAGATGAAGTTGTGACTGTGACGAGCAGGAACACTAGAGACCCACTTTGTGAAATAAGAAAAGGTTGTGGTGGCGAATCAAAAGTAGTGGAAGAAGATGAAACTCCTTTTGAAAATAGGACTGCTGGTAAAGAAAGCAAACAAGAACCGTTATTTTTGGATGGCCTGCCGTCAGTGACAAATGAATGGACGCTTCGGACAGCTGAACCTAGTGACCACAGTGAACTTCAGCAGGAACTCCGTGCACTCAAATTAGAGCAGGTATGTTGACTTGTTTAAATATGGTAAAGCAAAATGGAAATGTATCTTTCATATTAAGAGTTTTCATCTTAAAACACACATGAGTTATCTTTATAAGAGAATGGACGATTCCACTAAAGTAATTCTGCCATTATTTTATTTTTTTCCTTACATGTTTGTTAACTTTTCTTTTGATCTGTTTTGCTCAGGAAGTAAAAAGTGCTATAGAATTCACATTTTATTTAGGAAGACAAAATTTTAAGTAACTTTGTTGTAAATCTGAGCTTCAAAAGAAGTTATTAATTTTCGTAATATTTTGTTACAATACCAAGTACTGATTGTAGGATTTTCATAATGGGATCGTCAAGATTCCACACCTGAAAATTAAAGCTTTTTTGTGGTTTATAGTATTGGTCTGTAGTTACAGAATTATATTTCCCCCCGGGGGGGGGGCGGGGGCAGGGTGTGTGTGTGTGTGTTTCTAAACCCTAGATATTTTTCAGGCTTGCTTAAAAAAATAAAGTATTAATTATACATAACAGTTAAACTATTAAATAGTATATATAACTTGAATAATAATAGATCACTCCTGACAATTTATAGTACTATTTAGAGGTAACAGGAATTTCCACTGGACAACATCATAAAGCATAAGTGAATAGCTGTACAAGAGAATGCGACGGTTGGTCTCAATTCATAGGGAGCAACAGGAAGAAGTGTTAGGAATCGGAGGAGGATATGGAATGTGTGCCTAATTGCCTGATGAACAACTGCCTCCTTTGTAGTGAGACCAGAAGAGCTGTATGGTGCCCAGCTAGCATTACTGAATATTTTCATCAGCGTCTAAGGAAAGATTTCTAATCAAAAAGGGGGGAATGTAGTCAAGAATGGCCAGTTCTTAAGGATTCCCAATTTCTTCGAACCCAGGAAAGTTGATGAACCCCTGGAAGGATGGCCCTGAGATAATCTTTAAACCTTAAACCAAAAATAACCCCTGAAAACTTTTTTAAGCTAAACAGGAGTTTAGCTTAACTAGTAAAAAAATGTCTGCCTTGAGAATTATACTTTTAAGAACTATCTATGGAATCAAATTAATAGCAGCAACTCAAAAGATTAGTTAGGAGCCTGAGGAAGCAGCAAATTTTTATGGTTAGGGGAGGAACAGTTCAGAAAAAGAGGTTGAGAAAGGTGGTTGGCCTGGAAGAATATAGTCAGTACCACTAAATGGTGCATCTAGAAATTGTTGAGTTAGTGTATGTTTTTTCTCTATCGTTTCAACAATAGCAATAAACTAAATAAAAATATTAAAAAGAATGATAATTTGGTTAAATCTAAGAGTTAAAAAAATATGCATTATCTGTAACCCAACAATTACCTTTCTAGGTGGTTCTCAAAATGTAGCCCCTTTAGGGTTAGGGTTAGGAAAGAATAAAAGGGGGGAAAATGCAGCCCCTGACCAGCAGGATTAGCATCACTTGGAATGCAAATTCAGGCCCCACCCCAGACCTCCTGAACCAAAAATGGAGTAGATCTCAGTTCTCTCTTCTAATGAGAACCCTAGGTATAACTGATGCATTCTGAAATTTATGAGCGTCTGTGCTAGAGAAACACTAGTACACGTGGCCAAGGGGGGTATCTTTAAGACTTCTATATTTTAAATATTAAAAACCCTAGAAATAGCACAGTTGGTCTTCAGAAAGTAAATGGATAAATTGTGGTATATACATACATATACTGTACAGCAGTATCAATGTGGTTAGATCTCAGAGATAAACCTAGAATGAGAAGAGCTATTTATAAAATAAATATATACCATTTATGTAAATTAAGATCACGAAATACAATGCATTGTGTTCAGGTAGTTAGAGAAGTGATAGTATGAAAATGGACAGCCATGCATCAAATCTGTGTTAATTGCCTCTGAAGAAGGACACTTGGAAACATCAAGACCAAACTTGTTGCTATTGAGTCAATTCCGACTCACAGCAGCAATCCTGTATGACAGGAAAGAAGTGTCCTGTAAGCTTCCCAAGGTGGTAGTCTAGATGGAAGCAGACCCCTCATCTTCCTCCTGTGGAGCAGCTGGTGGTTTCAAACAGCTGACCTTTGAGTTAGTCCAGCACAGTGTTCCTAAATGGGTACATTGTGTTGGACAATTTTATTGGTGTTTTATTTCTTTAAAAACAAACATGGAATTGGGTGGGATAATCAGCTGAAACAAAAAATAATATAAAATACTAGTTTTGTTCATTTAGATTGCGAGTAATTGCACTTCTTAGACTATTCTTTGCATTTCCCTACATTTAGATTTTCATTTTTAAACAAAAACAGAAGATGAGATACTCGATATACCAAATATTAAATGTTATGATAAATAAATTTGGAAAGAAAACATTGTATTACATTCTTAGAAAAAGGGAAGTACATTAGTGCAGCAGCAAGAAGAGAGAAAAATTCGGCTTTAACACTCGTATATAAATGTTTTTAATATAGGGGGAGAAAGGGGGAACCAATCACAATGATGGATGTATAACACACACAAACCCGACCCCCAGGGGAGAAGAACAACAAAAATGTGGGTGAAGGGAGACAGCAAATGGTGTAAGATATGAAAATAATAATAATTTATCAAGGGTTCGCGAGGGTGGGGTAGGAAGGGAAAGAAGGGGGAAAGAGGAGCTGCTGATACTTAGGAGATTCAACTAGAAAGAAAATGTTTTGAAAACGATGATGGTCGGGAGACGGTGGGGAGAAAAAAAAGGAAAATGATGATGGCAGCATGTACAAATGTGCTGATACAATTCATGTATGGATTGTTGTAAGAGCCCCCAATAAAATGATTTATTAAAAAATAAATTTTAAATTTAAATATAATTTCATGTTTTCCCCCTTTGCAGTTGGTAAAAGGTTGAGAATTAGAAGTTAAATAATTTGCTGTTTTGAAATTTTCTAATGTGCATGCACATTTATTTTAAGGATGATTTAAGGCTACAGATGGAAGCCCAACGTATATGCCTTTCGCTGGTTCATTCCACTCATGTGGATCAGGTTCGTGAATATATGGAAAATGAAAAAGATAAAGCTCTTTGCAGTCTTAAAGAGGAACTTACTTCTGCCCAAGAGGAAATGGTCAGGGACCTTCAGAGAACACACCAGTTAGAGCTACTGAATATAAAAACCCAAGAAACAGGTAAATGATTAAAGCAAAATCATAAATCCATGGGGCAAATAAGTCTGGCTTAAGGTCCACCATTTCACTATTCTTTAACTGTCTTCGAACCCACATAGGAAGAAGGCACCTCTTTATCCCAATCCTGGGGGTGGTCTTCATACAGTCAATGGTCATTCATTTAAGTGCCTGAGAGAACTAAACTCACTGAAGGAAACCAAAGTCCAGGGGGAAAGCATATATGAAGAAAATTTACCGCTTAGAAAACAGTGGCACCGTCTCTATAATAGAAGAATGAGTAGAGAGACTAGTGCTTCCTGGCGGGAGGAGCCGGGTGAGCCAGTGAGCAGAGACATGGACATCTTAGAGGAGATTCCGTAGACTTCTGTTTTTAGCTGTAGAAGTGTCTTTATTATGAAGTGTAGAAGGATGGGAGAGTGCAGCCATTCTGGAGAGTTGAGAGTTTTATAAAGATGTGCAGCACAGTAGAAGGTTGATAAAACCAGAGATATACATAGGATCTTGAACAGAAAAAAAGCTTTATGTGCTCTGAGTGAAGCATGCTTACTCCTTGATTTTAAACAGAGAGAGTAGCATTGATTGTTTTACCGTAAGATAAGGGTATTAGAATTACTTGAGGATACAAAATTAGTGGTGGGAATCAAGTCAAATAACGTTGGCAGTAGTACTGATAAAACAAGATGTTCAATAAACCCAGGCAATGTCATTGAGGATCAAGGGAAAGAGTTCATGTGATAGGCTGTAGTCTGCAGTTGGTTTTAGCACAGAAAGGGGGAAGGGCGGCATTGAGATTGCTTCCTAAGTTTCTGGCCTGTAAATGGATTGAGGGCATTTCTAATCACGAGCAATTGCCAGTAACGTGGAGGACAAGCTATCACGTCTTACACTCTAATGCTAAATTGTTCTAAATGTAAAGACATGACATCAGTAGGTTAAGGGATCCTTCAGCCATGCATATAGAAGAAATCGTCTTGAATTGTGTTTTCTTGTTTTCATCCAGCAGAATGAATGTGAATTGAAACCTGAGTTAACATTAATTAATAAGCATTTCTTTCCAAAGAGAAAGGAATGTTCTTCAGAAAAGGAAGTGTTTCTGTTGTTTCAGTAAGAAAATTGTATTGAAATGTGCGTTTTCTTTTATGTATATAACTTAGATGGCAGTCGTGAAAACAAATTATCCACTCTCCAAGATCCTTCCAAAATCAAACAACTTGAAGAGCAAGTTCAAAAATTGGAAATCCTCGCATCCTCTTTGCAGCAACAATTGAAAGAAACTGAAGAAAATTATGAAGCAGAGATCCATTCTTTAAAAAACAGGCTTCAGACTGTTAGTGAGTCCTCTCTTCACCCAAGGTATCCATCTGCCTATAATTTCACTCAACAATATTTGTAGCTTAATAATAATCTTAATACCCTGGAATGGCTGTTTAAAAGAAAAGTGATGAAGAGCAAAGTTCCTTGAAAGATAGGATGTAGTCGTTTAAGAAATCAGAGCGAGAGCTGCTTCTATAACTTTGACATGGACAGACCGAGTATCAGTGTGAACCAGACATTGGATTAGAGAGAGCTTACCACCCCTACATATAGGTGCCGATTATTATTACTCTACACTCGAGTATAAGCCAACTCGAATATCAGCTGAGGCATCTAATTTTACCACAAAAACTACACAAGTAATGTGCTGAGAAACTCGGCTTATACATGAGTATATACAGTTTTCTGCTGGGTTAAGTTAGGCAGTGTGCAGACCTTTGGTTTTTGTCTTATGCCTTGTCTGTGTTGTTTTACTGTGGCATATATAAAGTACGATTCTTCCAGATGTGACTGGACTACTTCCACTCGGTAGTCTGATGATCCCAGAGTTTCTGGGTGGCACAGAGGCTTAACTAAGGAATAGCTTGGTGGTTGGAAGAGGCTGGTCATCTGCTTCTGAAAGGCCACAACCGTGAAACCCCTATGGAGGGCCATTCTCTGAAACATATAGGGTGGCCCTTTCTTAGAATTGACTCAGTAGCTACTGGCATGGGTTGTTTAGTTTTGTTTTTATAAACATTTTCATGTCCTACATTTAAAATATGCTTTATGAAGTGGCACATAATTTATTATTGATTTGTTAAAATCCTGTATTGTTCAGTTGTGTTACTTTCAAATGGAAAAAAAAACATCAAAATATTATCTAATTGAATGTACAGCACCTATAACCTGTAAGCTGTCTTTCTTGCTTTCCCTGTTCAAGGAGCCCTGGTGGTACAGCAGTTCACCCTGCAGCCGTGGCCCAAAGGGTGACACTTCAACCCCCACTAGCAACTCTGCAGGGGCAGTTGCTCCCATACAGAGTCCAAACTCAAGCTCACTGCCATCGAGCCAATTCTGACTCATAGCAACACTCTCAGGCAGAGTAGAACTGCCTGTATGGTTTCCGAGATTGTAAATCTGTATCTGAGCAAAAAGCATCGTCTCTCTGCTGTGGAGTGACTGATGGGTTAGAACTGTTGCTGTTTTGTGGTTAGCTGCCCAGCATGTTAGCCCCTCTGCCACCAGGGCTAGAACACCTGCTCTGTGGCACAAGGGTGCGATGAGTCAAAATCTGATATTTTAAGCACATGATAAATTTGGATTGACGGTGAAACAAATGCACAACTCTAACTCTTTGGCACTTGTAATTTATATTTAGCTTCCCTGTGGATTCAATGGTAATGACTGAATCTGATGTGCAGAGGAGAGTTTATACTGGAAATTGTCTTCAACAGAACACTGATGGTGCTGTAGAGGTATTCTATCTTTAAACTCTTGTATACACTAACCCATTTATTTTTCCTACTATTTTTATGTCTGTAGCTTACTAATTATCTAATAAGTACATAGAGGCTACAAAGTAACCATAATAAATATGGTAAGGCCTTTAATAAAATAGCCAGAAGAGTATGTAAGTATATAGTTTAATAGCATAGAAAAATACAGAATACATTAAATTTATTATTGTTTTTATTTTTTAACTTTATTTATTTTGATTTTCTTCAGAGTATACACAGCAAAACATATGCCAATTCAGCAGTTTCTACTTGTCCCATTCATAGACACTGATTTTATCCTTGGAATTGTGTAACCATTCTCATCCTCCTTTTCTGAGCTGTTCCTTCTCGATTAGCAAAAATTCACTGCTCCCTGAGTTTAGGTCCTGTGTCATCTTTGAATAACAGGAGTTACGAAATTCATACTAGAGAGAGAGCTCTTAGAAGAGCATAAGGCTCAAGGCAGACCTTTTTATTATTATTTTAAGAGAACTTTAGGGGATACTTTGGTTTAAGGTTTAAGATATCTCAGGACAGTAGTTTCATGGCTCTATGAAGTTTAAAATCCATGAAAATTAGAAAGTCTTTTCTGCATTTTTCCCCTTTTGATTAGGATTCTTACATAGATTCTGACCAAAATGTTCATTAATAGCATAGGATTAGAGTAGGGATACCAGCTGAGATAGTTTATTGTGCCAGCCTGGCCGATAAACACAAGTGGGATTAACTGAAGGGCGGAGAGATAAATGGCTCAGTGAGCCTCGCCTTTCTTGTCTCTCGCTTTTTGATCATTGGACCAGTGTGCGGCTGCCTTGCTTGTTTTGTGCCTCCTTTTACAGTCTACACTACCTGTGGGATGCCTAGCCTGTGAACTGTGTCGCTGTAAGTTGAGGTCCCTTTAAGAAATCTCTGGAGCTGGGGACTGGTGGTTGGTGACCTGGCTGACAGTTGGTGAC